TGCCTGCGCTTGGCGTCAGCCTGCGCCGCGGGGTCTGCGGCTGGGGAACCGCCGCCGCCCTCTCCGCCAGCGACGCCCGAGGCGCCCTCCTCCGAGGCGTCTTCCTCCATGCTTTCCAGGATGTTGGAGATGTCGGCCTCGTCGATCTCTTGCTCTTCACCGCCGTCCCGTTCGACCGCGGCTCCTGCCGTTGCCACCCGCTCCGCCAGGCGGCGGAGCTCGGCGACCTGGCCCTCCCACTGCTCGGCGAAGCCAGGGGCGAGCATGCCAGAGGCCTGGTTGAGCGCCGCCAGGAACGCGGTCGCCCGCTCTCCCTCGCTGAGCGGTGCACCAGGCGATGCGGGGGCGGCCCCTCCGCCGAGCGCAGCCTCGCGAGGGGGGCCGTCCCGTTCGCGGAGCTGCTTGGCCAGGAGGTTGTCGATGAGCGCCTGCAGCTCCATCTCGGTGGTCTTGCTCTGCTCGAACTTGCCCCCCAGCTCGAGCTTCTGGCTCGCTCTGGAGGTCTGTGATCTGCTTGGTGACGGCCGCGATCTTGCCCCCCAGCGCCTCGGTGGTGCTCTGCTGGTTCTTCTGCTTGCGTTCCAGCTCGCTGAGCTGGACCGATGTGGGCTTGGCCTCGGCGAGCTCGTGTTCCAGCTGTTGCGCTTCCTGACGCTTAGCCTCCACGATCGCCTCCGCGCCTTCCACCCCGTCGAGCCGTTTGATCTCGCTGCGTAGCTTCCCCAGACGGCGGACACGGTCTGACTTCTCCGCAGGTTGCGGCCCACCGGCTGCCGCTGCTGCTCCGCCCCCGTCGCCGCCCTGGCCTGGGGACTGACTGCTCTCCATCCTCTTGACCTTCCTGCGCAGCTGGTTGAGCTCGTGGCGTTCTTTGGCGTCCAGTTGCTTGACCCAGAACCGCTTTCCCACCAGTCATATCCACAGCTGCGACAGACGTGCCTGGAGCCCCAGTTCTTCTTGGCTCCGCACTGCGGGCAGTCCCAGACCTTCGGTGCGCCGCCGCCGCCGCCTGGTTGCTGACCCACCCGTCGTCCTCGACCGCTGCCTCCTCGGCCGCCGCCTCCGCGCGCGCCGCCTCGATCACCACCTCCGAGTCCTGCCATTGGTCGAGCCAACCGCGGCTGGGCTCCCAATCGGGCGACTGGGGCCGAGTGTTGGAAAGGTTATGGATATGAAAGAGCTGTGGCCTCTGAGGCCTCGCTGAAAGCTTGGTCGAATTGAAATATGACCCAAGAAGAGACGCGACGGCTAGAGCCAGCCACATGGGACCAGACATCTGCCCTGATCGCGCCATCTTGGGCCAAAATGGCTTGAGCCACAATGGCTACGGATGATGATGATGATGATGATGATGATGATGATGATGATGATGATGATGATGATGATGCTGATGATGATGATGATGATGATGATGATGATGATGATGATGATGATGCGGATGATGATGATGATGATGCTGCTGCTGCTGGTGAGGATGCTGATGGGGATGCTGATGGTGATGATGCTGGTGATGATGATGATTCTGATGATGATGATGATGCTGGCGATGTTGATGATGATGCTGCTGATGCTGATGGTGATGGTGATTATGATGATGATTATGATGGTGCTGATGATGATGATGATGATGATGAGGAGGAGGAGGAGGAGGAGGAGGATGATGATGATGATGATGATGGTGCTGATGATGATGATGAGGATGAGGATGAGGATGAGGATGATGATGATGATGATGATGATGATGATGATGATGATGATGATGATGATGATGATGATGGTGATGGTGGGCGTTGTCAGAGATGCCAGCCACACTCGGCCCTGCGCCTCGAGCAGGCCGCGCACAGCGAGATGGCCTCCCGCGGGCCGTCCAGAGTCGCTCTCGCCTCGTGGGCGGCCCTGCCCTCGTCCAGCGCTCGAGCTCGTCGAGTGGCGCTCGCGAGGTGGCCTCCTCCTCCTCCTCCTCCTCCTGTCTCCTCCTCCTCCTCCTCCTCCTCCTCCTCCTCCTCCGCCTCCTGTCTCCTCCTCCTCCTCCTGTCTCCTCCTCCTCCTCCTCCTCCTCCTCCTCCTCCTCCTCCTCCTCTTCCTCCCTCTCCTCCTCCTCCTCCTCCTCCTCCAGCCTCCTCCTCCTCGTCCTCCTCCTCCTCCCCGAGGGAGGAGGGCCTTACGACCGAGGGACGGGGGACGTCTACGGAAGACGGAGCGGACGCAGTACGGCCCCGCGCAGCGCGTTGCGCGGCGGCGCGGTCGCGCAGGAGCACGGAGAGGAGGAGGAGGACAATGGGGAGACGGTTTGCAGGAGAAGCAGGAGTGGCAGGAGGGGGGGAGTTCTTGGAGGAAGACGGCGCAGGAGGAGAGAGGATGGTGCGAAGCAGGAGGGGCGAGAGAAGGACGATGGGAGGATGGACGCCTGATGGTGATAATGGTGGTGGTGGTGGTGGTGGTGGTGGTGGTGGTGGTGGTGGTGAGGAGGAGGAGGAGGAGGAGGAAGACGAGGAGGAGGAGGAGGAGGAGGAGGAGGAGGAGGAGGAGGAGGAGGAGAGGGAGAATGAAGAGGAGGAGGAGGACGAGGAGGAGGAGGAGGAAGGTCGAACGGAGGGCGATAGACGGAGACACTTGGGAAGAGTAGGATGAGGAGGAGAAGGAGGAGGAGGCCGTGCCTGAGATGGAAGATGATGAGATGCAAAGAGGAGGAGGAGGAGGAGAAGGAGGAGGAGGAGGAGAAAGAGGAGGCGGAGGGGCGCAGCTGTCCCCGGGGCTGGGGGCGCAACAAACCGCTACCTGAGCGTTGCGCGCGCACTCGTTATCCCCCCGCGAGGCATCGAGTGCGCAGGGTCTATTCAGTTTCGGTGTCGAAGCTCTGTATGCCGTTTTTCTGTTTCCCGCCTCCCTCTCAGGAATTCCCGTTCCCGACTCAGGAACAGGGCGCATCGCGGGCAGCATCGTCGTTGCGCCCTCCCCTCCCTCCCCCCCCTCGGCGAGAACCGTCATTTGGCCTCGCTGGTGAGGACCGTCAATGGGCCTCACACCCCTCGCAGCTACCATCAATGGGGCTGCTTGGGTTCCTGCCCCCCCCCTCATTCCTGCCCCCCCCGCTCATCCAGTATGTGTGTACGTGTATGTATGCATGTTTGTTTGTTTGTATGCATGTGTGTGCCTGTATGGATGCATGTATGTATGCGCGTATGCACGTATGCATGTATGCATGTACGCCTGTATGTATGCATGTATACATGCATGCATGTACATGTGCCTGTATGAATGGGTTCATGTATGTAGGCATGTGTGGATGCATGTATGTGTGCATGAATGTGCGCATGTCGTGGAAACATGCATGTATGCATGCCTGCTCGTATGTATGCATGTTTGTAGGTAGGTAGGTCGTTCGGTATGGATGTACGTGTGTATGTATTACTATATGTATGCGTGCATGTATGCGTGCCTATATGTAGGTGTGTATGTATGCATGCATGCATGTCTGCATGACTGTTTGTCTGTATGTTTGTATGTATGTATGCATGTGTATGTATGGATTGTCCATGGCGTGAGCATGAGCAGGAGGGCAGCGTCACAACCTGCCTGAAGGAAGAATAACAGTTAGGTAGGTAGGCCATTCGGTACGTAGGTAGGTGCGTGAGTACGCATGCATGTATGTGTGTACGTACGTACGTCTGTGTGTATGTACACCTGCGTATGTGCCTGTGTCTGCGTGTGCCCTCCAGTCCGAGCCCTGAGCTCGTGGCACGCCCGCGAAAGCCCCATCGGGCCCAAGCGTGGATCTTGCTGCGGGTTTGCCGCAGACGACCTTCCGTCAGGGGGACCCGGGGGCGTCCTCGAGGGCGCGAAGTTATTCGCGCCTCGCGCTTCGCGGTTCGGCTCCGATCCCTCCTCATCCCCCTCTCCTCCTCTGGGAGGCGGCGCGAGAGCGCGAAGGTATTCGCACTTCGCGCTTCGCGCAGCGCGAAGCGCGAAGTTGGGAGCCCTTGGGGACCGAAACGGGGAAGCAACGGGCACAAGTCGGCTGTGAGCGAGGGGGGGAGGTGAAAAGGAGAAGGCCGTTGCAGAAGGCGGCAGGGTTTCGCAGAAGCCCCCTGGCCTTCTGAGAAGTTAGTTCTCCGTGCCTTGGGGAAGGTTCAGAAAACCTTTCGGCAGGGCGGAGGAGTTCCGAGCCGTCTGAGAGAGGCCCGCCACTTCTCGCTTAGCCTCCGTCGCCCGCCGCCGACAGTGAGCACAACGTCCAGCAGCAGTCCCTAGCCATCCTGGAGCGGATTCGGTGCCGGCGTCGCCGCAGTCGTCGCCCGCTCGAGGCACACGCTCGCCTGCCCAACAGCAGCCGCTATCGGTCTTGGACAGCATGTGCTGCTGGGCATCGTGCTAACTTTTTCCGTGCACCGCTCGGGCGTCCGAATCCCAGGGCAGCTCCGTCGTCGGGAGCCGCCGCCCGGCAAGCTCTCGCTCCCGCCCGGGGTGCGGGCGCTCCCCGAGGATTCAGGGCCCGATTCGACTCAATCTCGATGGCTTCCGACTCCGATTCAGTTCGACTTCGGGCTCCGATCTGGATTCCGACTTCTCCGTGGAGGCCTTACCAACTTGCCGATCTCCGCCGATTCGGCTTCTCCCGACTCGGTTGCCTGTGTCCGCCGATATCCGACTCACTCCAATCACCGATCCGATGTATCGCTTCGATCCTGGGCTCTCTTGCCCAAGGACGGCCTCCAGCGGCCCCTCCACAGGCCCAAGAGGGCGAAGCACGCCCAGCAGTCCTCGGCGACCTCGGCCCTCCGCCGCCGCTGGCAGAGCGCAGCACCTCCGCCCACCTCTCGCGTTGAGTCGGGCGCGTCCCTCTACAGGAGGAGTCTCCAGAGATAGCCAACAAAAATAGTCCGGGATGATGTCTTTATCATTTTCGGGGCTATGTATGGGCCTTTTTGGACCCTGTCTCATGTTTTGTGCTTCGTCCACAGCCCACCGGTAGGAGGACACGCCCGACCTAACGCTGGCAGAGCGCAGCACACCCGGCCACCTCTCGCCATGGCCTGCCGCAGCGCCGCCCCCGAGCACGCCTCGCCTGGGCCGGCGGCGCCCCTGCGCCCCGCTGCGCCCAAGCTCGGCGGCGCGGCCAGCAGCAGGCGCAGCACGGAGCAGCTCGCGGCGCAGGCCCTGCTCGCGGCGAGCGGGGGCAGGGAGCTGCTGCGCTGTGCGCTGGGCGGCGCGGAGGAGGCCCCACAGGATCGTGCCACGGCGCAGAAGGGCGCAGTGCAGGCGTCACGATGCAGCCGCGATGGTCCAGGGAAGGGTGAGGAAGGAGGGCAGAGGCTGGTGGTGCCAGCGAGACGACACATGGGCCTCTTGTTCCACCGCATGCCCGGAAAAACGTCGCACTGCAACCCGTCGACCCGGCGCGCGGGCTACAGGATGGAGGAGGAACGCCAAGGGTTGCGCACGAGCAGCCCCTGGAGCCTGGGGGTAGTCCTGGCCGCTCTCAGCAGCTCCAGCGGGTTAGCCCGGGGCGGTCTCAGCAATGTCCCCGCAGCTCCTCCAGCGGCGCTCTTCCGGGGCGCTCCGCGCCCCAGGTGTCGGAGCGATGGGGCCACCTTGACGCATTCTTCGCTGGTCCCATGCAGTGCTTGCGCTGACGGGCTCTCGCCAGAACGACCAAAGCATTGGATGGATATTCCAGGGTTTCGGCTGGTGCCCCGATGGTGGGCACTCATGGGCATCTCGTGGGCGACCCGCACGGGGGGGGCGTCGTTAGCACCTTCTTGGCGTCTGACGCTCTGGGCGCTTCATGGATGCACTTGTGCAGCGCGAGCGAGGTGTCATGGGGTGGGTGCGTGGAGCAAGGTGCGCCGGCATGCCCGCCATGCCGAGGTGTCGCCCGGTGGCCGCCCGTGGGCGCTCCGTGGGCGCCACGTGAGGGGGGGGGGTATGCCGAGGTTTTTCGCCCGTGCCCGCCTGCAGGCGCCTCGCTGGCGGCCGCGCAGTTTGCACCACGTGGTCTGTTCACCACACAGCTGCTCTTGCTCCACACGGCTTGCACCACAGGGCTGCCATCGCATAGCTTACACAGCACAGCTCGCACCACGCAGCGTACACCACGTGTAGTCCACCACGCAGCTTGCACCATATAGCTTGCACCACATCGCTTGCACCACATAGCCTGCACCGCACCACACGTGGCTTGCACCAGTGCGTAGTGTACACCACCTAACTCGCAGCACGTCGATGCCAGTTCATTGCCTTACACATTGCATGCATCACGCAGGTTACCCCATCCAGTGTCAGAATTTAATGTGTGGGGTTCACGCTGGCAAACTTTGCAGTTCGTGTGAACTCTTGCGGTTAAGTTGAACATTGACCCGTCGCGACCCCAATTAGGCGTTGCTTGGTATCGTGCTGCGTTGCTTGGCATTGATTGGCATCGTGCTGCGATGCTTGGCATTGCTTGGCATTGTATGGCATTGCTTTGCATTGCATGGCCAGGCAACACGGAGACAAAACCAAACATCGAAAGAACCAAGAACGAGGAACCAATGAGCCAAGATCGCGGCACGACGGAAACGAGGTCCAGAAGCAAAGAAACCAAGACACATAAGCCAAGAAGCCAACATCAAGAACGAGGAACCTAGGAACCGACCACCGAACCCAGGAACCACGGCAAAGGAACCCGGGCAGGGCCTTGTGGGGAACCAAGGTCTAGCAACACCAGGGAACGCCCGAGCAAGGACACAAGGCCAAGGACCATTGGACAAGCCTGGCGCCTCCGGGCCCAGCACCCACGCAGCCTTCGAGCGCAGGGAAGAGAGACCCTGGGGACAGACCCTGGAGCCCCGGAGCTCTCGACCCCTTCCCTGGCGTCGGCCTGCGGCTCCCGCTCGTCGTTGGGCGGTCCCCGGGAGCCAGGGCAAGCCCTCGCTCCCCCACTCCTCCTCCTCCTGCTCCTCCTCCGCCTCCTCCGCCTCCTCCGCCTCCTCCGCCTCCTTCTCCTCCTCCTTCTCCTCCTCCTCCTCTTTCTCCGCCTCTCTTCCTCCTCCTCCTCCTCCTCCTCCTCCTCCTCCTCCTCCTCCTCCTCCTCCTCCGCCGCCCCTTTACCACAGGCCGGAGCTGCGGAAAAGGACTCCAGCCGCCGCAGCTTGCCGCGCGACTCGGGAGGTCCAGGCCCATGCGCAGCCCCGAGCCCCGCCACCCCCGCAGGACCGCGGAGCCGCAGGCGTCGGCAGCCCGGCCAACCTCACGTCGCCAGTCGGGGGTTGCTGAAGGTGCCCCTGGCCCAAGGTGCCCCCCTCCCCGGCTTCTCGCTCAACTTCTGCGCTCCTGGGGCCCTCGGGCCTCGCGCGATGGGGGCTGCTCTGGAGGCCGCGGGGGGCCTCCTCGGAAGTCCTGGGGGCGCCCTGGGCCCGGGGCACTTCTGGCAGCGCCCGAGCCAGCTGCCGGGACCCCGACGTGGCAGATCCCCTGCGAGCAGCACGGCGGCCCGGGCCACTGCCAGAAGCCGGCGCAGATCGGCCTCAGCCGCTTCGACTGGGCCGCGGGCGGCCGCTGGGTCGTCAGCACTCCGAGCGCAGGCCCTGCTCCTGATTTTAGTGTTCTCCCCTTCCTTTAGGTCGGGCATGTCCCTCTACAGGAGAAATGTTCAAAAATAGTGTAAACAACATTTTATAGAGACGATTTTTGGATTATTGTTTAACCATTTTTTGAGATGTTTGGAGTCTTTCTCATTTTCCGTCCAAAATCCGCCTGTATGAGGACATGCCCGACCTATAATCCTTCCTCCTTCCAGCCCCCCCCCCCTCCCCCTGAGCCGACTCCTCCCACAGGTGCCGCTCGCGCGGGGCCAGGCCCAGGACACGTCCTTCCAGAGCGTTCCGGAACGCTCTCCGCCGTGGAGCCTGGCACATCTTCAGGCCCTGCGGGGCCTCAGAGATTCCCGAGTTCTATAGCTATTCTTGGCCCGAGGGCCTCCCCGCCCGGGCCTCGTCCTGGCCGCGGGCCGCGGCGGTGATGGCGGGCCTCCCTCCACACAGCACCCCCGGCGCCGTGGCTTCTCGCCACGGCGACCCGTGCTGGACCGCTTCCCCGGGGCGGCATCTGCAGCCGGAGTCTCGTCTGGGGGCGGTCCCGCGAGGCCCGGCAGGGAAGGGCCCCCGGGGGCCGAGAGCGGTGAGAGGCCTCCCGTCGCGAGTTTCTTCACGGCGCGAGGGGGTCCGGGTCTCCTGCTCCCGAGGCGGCGCGAAGGGAGGGAGGGAGTCGGAGAGGGTGCCTCCCAGCGGAGTGCGTGCTGGCATGATGGCCCTGGCGGTGCGGCTGGGCCACTGCTCTGTGCAGGCAAAAGGCCTATGCTTGCTGCAGGATGTGCGCCTGTTCTGCGAGGGCCTGGTGTTCAGTTGGGCATGTCCCTCGACGGGCGGAAAATCCAGAAATAGTAGAAAAATAGTCTGGGGACGAGTTGTCTTACTATTCCTGACAATCTTGAATCTGTTTTTTTATTTCGGGGGCGGCAAGGAGGGGGGTGATGACTAGGGGGGTGTGGATATCATGGCGCGGGCCATGATCTTTCCTCAGATTTCATGGCGCCTCGTCTTCTTTCATGACGTCCCTGCCCCACCCCCCCTAGGCCGCGCACATGCCGCCTGCCACGACCTGCACCCCCCCTCTTGGACGCCCCCCTCCTTGGCCGCTCCCGAGTACTTGTCGTCGAAACTCCGCCCGAAGGAGGACACGCCCGACGTAAGCCACGGTGGCAGGGCCCAGGCCGACCGCCGTGCAAGCCCGCCGCCGGCCCTCCGAGCTGCGCAGCGCAGGCTGAAGCTGCTCCCGGGGGGGCAGAAAGGCCCCCAGGGCGGGCCCGTCTCCGGAAGCTTTCGGGGGCTCCCAGGCGGGGTGGTGACCACACCGTGCGGTGATAGGGAAACGAACAATGAAATAAACAATCAAAATTCGGAGGCCCGCGCGGATTTCTCGGATCGGCGCTGGGACCCCCTGGCGGCGCCTCCGGCGCCGCCCCTGGCGCGCTCCGCGCGCCAGGGAGGGGGGTCGCAAGAAATCCGCGCGGACCTCCGAGTTTTTATGTTTATGTCATTGTTCGTTCCCCTAGGTGAGTCGGTGAGGATGCGGGGTCACCGCACGGTTTTGGGACTCGGGTCCTTCTCCGAGGACGTCTCGGGCGACGGGGGCCTCCGGGGTCCCAAGGCCGTGCGGTGACGGACCGTGCGGTGAGGTCTTGAAAGGTTTCGAGGTCACCGCACGGTCTGTCACCGCACCGTTTCGGGATTCCAAATGCTTGAACGTCAAGGATTGCTCCCTTGAGTGCATTCTGCAACACAGTCCACTCGCACAGGAGGGATGAGCAACTTGCCAGGGTTACCCTTTGCATCCCTCCCATCCTCGGGTGCTTTCGCTTGCCACGCCCCGCCTGCAAAGCGCCAGCATGGCCTTCCAAGGCCCTTGCATCCTCACTGCGCATCCCTACTTGTACGGGCTGACTGTACCCAGCCGCCTGCAGCAAGGCCCGCCACCGTGCCAGCCCAGCCTCTTCTCGGGGACCTCGGTGTCGGAGAGCACGGAGGCCCCAACGCTTGACATCCTGGAGATCGAGGCTTGGGACGGATCTGCCGTACTTTGCAAGGGGTTGCCGCCCCGAGCGATGAAGAACGATGCGCGCGGAGCAGTGCGGCGAGCGGGGGTGGTGGCACCCAGAAGATCACCGTTAACTCGGGCCCGTCCCTCTACAAGGGGAGTATTCAAAGACAGTCAAAAGGTAGTCTTGGGACGATGCTTCTAAGATTTGTTGATTGTGTTTGAAAAGAGCGTGTTGATGATCGACCATTGTTCGTCCAAGATCCGCCTGTAGGGGGACCTGCCCAGCCTCAGACGACCGAAAGCCTACCAGACTGTCCTTGGCATTCCAGCACGCTCCGACGTGCCAGCGTGCCGGCCCCGCTCTCTTTTGTTGTTTTCCTTTTGTTGCACGAGGGAGCACGGAGCTTCCCAGCGTGTGAGCTGGACCGCACGCACCACCTGCGCCCGACCCGTGGAGGGGCGTGCGAACTGGGGCGCAGGGCCGGAGGATCGGATGAGGAAAAGGTGCCCATACCTCTACCCTTCGCCCGTTTTCCTGGTTTTGGGCCTCCTGGGAGGCCCTCGTCGCCACCGCTGGACTCTCCCCGAAATCCTGGTCAGAACGCACCCCTGGAGAGGTCTGGGGAGTAGCCGTATCGGTACCTGTTGGTCTCCCCAGAGGAGGGGCGCGAGGCTCTGGTCGGGGCTCCAGAGGCGGGGGCCGATGCACAAGGAGGAGGAGGGAGGAGGAGGAGGACGAGGAGGAGGAGGATGAGGAGAAGGAGGAAATGTCAACCTAGCCAGGTCACGAGAACCAGCGCACCACCGGCAGCCTCCAGACCGTCGGTGCCGCCGCCTGCATTGCGAGGTCGTGCG